ACCGCCACTGGCTGTGTCAATAAAAGCTTTTATTGGACTAACAAGGACGTTTTCAGTTCTGAAACTTACAGGATATTCTTATAATATGATGACCTCTTTGATTTGATTTCTCAGTTCATCACCCCTTTAAATAAAAAGGAGATGCGTCATACCCCGCCTGTCGTTGAGTTCACGGTCGGTTCAACTTCCCACGTTTATTGTAGTTTGATTAGAGATATATATGAATATATACGATACCTTCAAAGAACATTTTTATTCACTCGTTAATAAAATGTCAACAACAGAAGACTTGTCCATCAAGCCTTACATATTTGAGCCAGAGCGAGCGAGTTGATAAAGACGACGACAAACCTGCAGAACAACCTCTTCATATGGATATATTGGTATGTAAGTTAACTGTTTTGTGTTATTAGTGAAAAGTCGACTATTTCTCTTGTTAAAACTAGCACACTGACAAGATAAATGACTACGGTCTAATCTTACCACAAACAATCTGTATTGATAATATGATACGTTTAGAAAAGCATCAGAAAAGCAGCTAAATGATCATTAAGAAAGTAAAGTACTTTATTTTTATTAACGATATTTACAGCTTATCGAAATGCTCTGTTCGTCGTCTCCAAAGATAGAAGGAATTTACCTCTCATTCAGACGAAGTCAATAGGCAAACCCTTCTTTATACTGGCGGAGGTTGTTGAAGTGGGAATCCTTGAAGTGCTTCAGGTCACTACATGATCCAACAATCGAACATTTTGACTTGCCCTCTCGTAACTTCTGCATCATTGAGCTCCGACTACAAAATCGGAGCGAGAAATAATAATGGCGGATTGCTCGAAGTGTTGGACCGGTAGTCAGTGTCCTTATTTGGCAGTTCCGCTGCAAATACGGTGACGTGATAGTTCAAAAAACGTCATAGAGAACAGAAAAATCTGAACAGGTTGAAAAATATGACCAAAACAGAATATAAAGATATAAACACAGCACCTGAAGAGAATAATTTCATCTTTTCTGTACTTATAAAACACTCCAAATATACAACAAACTGCATTTAAGGCCTAAAAAAAGTGGATTTTGCATGATATGTCCCCTTTAAATGTGAACCTGTGATAAAAGCTGATGGCGTTCACATGCGCATTAAGAATTGATTCTATAGTTATGTTAGTTTGAATATACACTCACCGACCACTTTATTAGGTACCCCATGCTAGTAACGGGTTGGACCCCCTTTTGTCTTCAGAACTTCCTCAATTCTTCGTGGCATAGATTCAACAAGGTGCTGGAAGCATTCCTCAGGGAGTTTGGTCCATATTGACATGATGGCATCACACAGTTGCCGCAGATTTGTCGGCTGCACATCCATGATGCGAATCTCCCGTTCCACCACATCCCAAAGATGCTCTATTGGATTGAGATCTGGTGACTGTGGAGGCCATTTGAGTACAGCGAACTCATTGTCATGTTCAAGAAACCAGTCTGAGATGACTCCAGCTTTATGACATGGCGCATTATCCTGCTGAAAGTAGCCATCAGAAGTTGGGTACATTGTGGTCATAAAGGGATGGACATGGTCAGCAACAATACTCAGGTAGTCTGTGGCGTTGCAACGATGCTCAATTTGTACCAAGGGGCCCAAAGAGTGCCAAGAAAATATTCCCCACACCATGACACCACCACCACCAGCCTGAACCGTTGATACAAGGCAGGATGGATCCATGCTTTCATGTTGTAGACGCCAAATTCTGACCCTACCATCCGAATGTCGCAGCAGAAATCGAGACTCATCAGACCAGGCAACGTTTTTCCAATCTTCTATTGTCCAATTTCGATGAGCTTGTGCAAATTGTAGCCTCAGTTTCCTGTTCTTAGCTGAAAGGAGTGGCACCCGGTGTGGTCTTCTGCTGCTGTAGCCCATCTGCCTCAAAGTTCGACGTACTGTGCGTTCAGAGATGCTCTTCTGCCCACCTTGGTTGGTTATTTGAGTCACTGTTGCCCTTCTATCAGCTCGAACCAGTCTGACCATTCTCCTCTGACCTCTGGCATCAACAAGGCATTTCCGCCCACAGAACTGCCGCTCACTGGATGTTTTTTCTTTTTCGGACCATTCTCTGTAAACCCTAGAGATGGTTGTGCGTGAAAATCCCAGTAGATTAGCAGTTTCTGAAATACTCAGACTCAGGTGGCACCAACAATCATGCCACGTTCAAAGTCACTCAAATCACCTTTCTTCCCCATACTGATGCTCGGTTTGAACTACAGGAGATTGTCTTGACCATGTCTACATGCCTAAATGCACTGAGTTGCCGCCATGTGATTGGCTGCTTAGAAATTAAGTGTTAACGAGCAGTTGGACAGGTGTACCTAATAAAGTGGCCGGTGAGTGTATGTGCACAGGTTTGTAATTCCCTACAAAACCATGCCTGAACAAACTACTTGTCATGTCTATAAATTTTATACAGAATTTTGTTTTATTTTATCACTTCGGGGTAGGTACACAAAATTAAATTCACAACGCTTGAAAGGAATCCTCCATAGGGAGAGGCTAGTTGGCACTTCAGCACTGCATTGTCATCGTCATCGGGTCCAGGCTAAGCTCCTCGTTAGATCTGGATGTGGCCAGTTCCGGCTGACCTAATCTATGGAGCCTAACATTGAATTATAGAAGTCTATAATGTATTATGTGTATGCTAGGGCAAAAAGATGTGTCTTTAATCGAGCTTTGAACTGACAGAGTGTGTCCACAAACTATTCCACAATTTTGGTGCTAAATAAGAAAAGGATCTACCACCAGCAGTCGATTTTGATATTCTAACTGGCCGGAATTTTGAGATCGCAATAGACGTGAAGGACTATAATGCGTTAAGAGCTCGCTCAAGTACTGGGGAGCTAAACCATTTAGTGCTTTGTAAGTAATCAACTATATTTTAAAATCTATACGATGTTTAATATGCAGCCAATGCAGTGTTGATAGAACCGGGCTATTATGGGTAGTAGAACTTTTTAGTAGAACTTAAATTACTTTTCAATTCTCTTACCCTGATAGAGAATAAGAAGACTTTTAGACTTATAGAGTGCTAAAACAAATATTACAAATATTAAATGGACTCTTCATATGTTTTATATCGATGAACTATAGATTGATTTAAAAAAAAAAATAAATCGAATGAGTACGATTCGCTAAATAAAATTGACGATACTCACGATTATCCGATTCGGTGTCTCGAATCAGCGAATGATTCGAGTGAATGATCCTATTGGTGGGGAACTGTGGCTGCAGACTCCGAGTCTGCATTCATACTACTAGAAATTTTCGACTAAAAATTACATTAGAAAAAAAAACTTACATTAATTTGCTGCGTACTTATTTGGTAGCCTTGTTTTCCACCTAAATGAATTATAAATAAACATAAAAAACTAGACTATTTGCAGTATATTAAATCGTTTTTGACCCACGAAACCATACAAAACAACAATGGCATACATAAAGTAAAATAAAATGCATAAGTATAAATGTATGCACCGTTTTTCCTCCTCGGTTACCCTCAAATAAAAACGGAGTAAGCACCGGCTTTGGCGACAGAAATTATTACAAATGCGCACAAGCCGCGTAAGGTCCGCCATGCTGGTTTGTTTACATCTGGCTAACAGTTACCACAATTCTTTGCGCTAAGGTAGTTTGAACTTTGGAGTGACTGGGCTGGAATTCTACAAAATCGAGAGTCGTGGTTTGAAGTCATGATTTACCTGCTCAAAAACCTGCCTGGAAAGCAGCACACGTCTGACACACGAGTCTGTAGGCTCTGACAGCGTTGCATCACGTGGTGCACCTGCTTGTATTACACTGTCTGATGATACAGAGCACTGGGATGAGTGTTCAACCAAACAAACGTTACCCTCAATGTGACATTAAAAGATGCTTACCGCAGCATGGAGAGCCGGGACAATGAGGTCTGGACAGGGTGTGGGCTCAAAGAGCAGAGTGGTCTTGACTTACGTCACAGAGACTATAATCATGCCTCAGCGGATACATGAGTCACTTCAGAACCAAGAAGGGAGGAGAGCTCTGAGTCTGACCAAACAACTAAATGTGGGTCAGACTTTGGCTGACCGATGTCTCATCGTCTGGGGCAAAAGAGCACAGTGGCACTACAATGAAAGTATTTGGGTTGAATTGACTGATGGGGTACTGCTTGATGGTCAATTAAACATATAGGCTAGTTAAAGCACATTCTGTATCATATTAATATATTAGACTATTTAAAATAATTTCTAGACTATTGTAAATCAGTAAAAAAAAAATTTTTTTGACCAAAATTTGACAATAACATAACAAAAGATATCTATTTCAAATAAACTCTGTTCTTCTGAACTTTCTATTCAACAGAGAATTCTGAAAAGAAAAATGTAAAATGGTTCCCACAAAAAATAAGCTGCACAACTGTTTCCAACAACTGTGCAGCAAATAAGCATATTAGAATAATTTATGAAGGATTATGTGACACTGAAGATTGGAGTACTGATGCTGTAAATCCAGCTTTGCCAAAGAAATTAATCTCATTTTAACATATAAAACATTTAAGTTATTTAAATTATAATAATAACAGTAATATTTCTATTTTTACTGTATGTTTTGATCAAATAAAATGCAGCATTAGTGAGTGTGAGACTTCTTTCAAAAACATATAAAAAATCTTACTGATCACTTTTGATGTCTATAAATATCCAAATCAATATTGCTGCAATAAATCTAAACATGAGTACAGGATACCTATTATTGATCCTTAAATGAACCAATTAAGCCCAAATGTATTGATGATAACTGATGTTGCCCTGTTGAACATTATAGCTGTTTTCATTTTTCCAAGAGTGAAAATCCATCAATTTTTACATGAATTTGTTCAAATTCAAAATATATGTAGTTTATTTTATGTTGTATCCTGTGAGTGAGACATCCCAACATCCCAGTGTAACCAGAGTCAACACAAAGAAACACAAATACACTCTATATTTATATCAATAATTAATACATTTGAAAGTTTTAATGGTCAATGTTTATAATACTGTTGGTACATCATTCTTATTAAGAGTGAACTTGAAGGGTATAGATATTAGGGAGCTGACGACTATTCCCCTTTTTATAAAAGAGTATAATCACTGGAAATACATACTGAAGGATAAGCAAGTAGAGATGTTTTGTTACAGCAAAGGAATTCTCAGCAGATGTTAGTTTTCTTATCAAAAATGGCCTGTTTTTAGATATCTTACAATTAAGTTTAATGCTGGAGAAACATTCAGTTCCGCATATTTACTGAGCATTTTTTGGGGTGTTAATTGCAATCATTTTTTGTTGAACCAAATACACAATCTTCAAACATCTACAACAACAGCTCTAAATTCAACCTCACATGTGCGCACAGTCAGGAACAAATGCAATATTATAACAAAGTGAAAAGTTTAAATTGTCCAAAGTTATTAAAACACTTGTCATGGATCTTTTAAAGCTCCAGTTTCTGGCATGAAATGTTAAAGACTAAACCTATTTCAGTTCTATGTACAGAATATACACGTTGAATGAACAAGATGACATTTTTTTTTTTTAGATATAAAAACGAAAAAAAATTGGTGGAGAAAAAAATATTCACAAAACCACACAGATTGATGACATGGCCGTGACAGAAACAGCGTCTCCATTTTTGGAGGAGAACCAACCAAAAAAGCAATTTGGCAGTGACAGTCTTTCCCTCTTACATTCATTCGAGGGCACCACTTTTAAAGTTTCCTTGATTTGTGTTAGCAGTGGATCTGCACAATACATTTTTACAAGATGAGTCAGCTGAACTCCATGAACATTTCTGATTGTTTGGATCAGCACCATGTGATATACTCTTCACCCTGAACACAACATCCTCCAAACTTGGCTCTTAAATCTATCAATAAACCAAATATACTTCCAAGGTAAACTGAATGAATATTCTGCAGCCTGCAACGATAAAAAGGAAAAAAAGTTACCTTCATTTAAAACAATATTATGATGCACATTTTGCACATGTCAGCCTGTGCAATACAACCACAGTTAAGGCTTTAATGCGTTCATCTTCGAACACCTATGCAATAGCTCTTTCTCTGAAGAGGGCATATTAAAATGATTATTACACCAATGACAACACCCATAATTGTGAGTAACCGATCATACAATACCCTGTTAAGTCCCACGGGAGCATCAACAGCTCCAACACTAAAACACATAGAAGGAAAAGCCTGCAAGACCTGCAGTGGTTTTGTCCTGGTCTATATGATGTGACATCATCGGATATAATATGTGAATATTTAGGAAAAGTCATCATGTTACATAACCATATTGTCAAATAATGAGCTTTGTTTTTATGTTGCCACTGAAAGTGTTTTTTTTTTAACCCAGGACAAGAACCTTGATTGTAGAGTTAAAATCACATTTTGATTCTAAATTCACTATAAGTGAACTTTTCACTTTCTTATCTGTTTGCTTGACTACACACAGTCCACCACAGGCTCGCCTTCGTTTCCTTCTTCTTCCCCCCACATCCCGAATCTCATATCCTCATCATCCATGGATCCCCCGTCCGCCTCTCCCAAACCGGCCATGCCTATTGCTTCATCCGCTCCAGGCTCCCCCTGATGGGCACGGAGGTGTTTCCTCAGACTGGCCGGATCTTTAAAGCCTCGATGGCAGAGTGGACAGCAACACGGCCGTTCTCCTGTGTGTATGCGCTGGTGGTGCTTCAGGTGCTGCAGGCGACTGAGGCGTTTCCCACAGACGCTGCACACGTACGGTTTTTCACCAGTGTGTGTGCGGCGGTGCTTCCGCAGGCCGTCGAGATGGCGAAACTGCGTTCCGCAATCGGAGCAGGAGTACGGTTTCTCACCCGTGTGGATGCGGAGGTGAGTTTTAAGAGCCCCAGACTCACGGAAACGGCGGCCGCACACGGTGCACGGGTACGGTTTCTCTCCTGTATGGATCCTCAGGTGCTTTTTCAGGCTGGAGATCAGACGGAAGGTCTTGCCACACTCCAAACACAAGTGAGGACGTTCTCCAGGTGCCTCCCCCATCAACTCTGAGATGGAGCGCCGCATAGGCTCTTCTGGCGATGAGGCGTCCACCCCTGGGCTCCTCCTGGGAGTCATACCCAAACCAGGAGCATCTCTCTGGGCCGATCTAAGTCCGGAGGTCCCCTGCGTAGGCGAACTACTGGAGGAGGGTCCATTGTGAGGCCTGGAGGGGGGCGGTGGTGTAGTTTTGGAGGGGTGATGGTGTGAACGGGAGCCTCCTTCCTCCTCGACCACATGGACGTATGCCAGATCACACACGCTCTGAGCTGAATGCTCAGCTTCTGTGGGTGCCTCTCGTCCCAGCACACACACCTGTCCAGAGGCAGAAACCTGCTCCTCTTTAACAGAGAAGCTAGTGTGTGAGGGAGGGTTGGGGGGTCTGGTGTGCGTGAGTCTTCTGCTGTCATCTGCCATCTCACCTGGAACACAGATCACAAATATACACACTGGTAGGAAAGAGCAATGTCATGAGAAATCGCAGTCAAAACTTTGACATGCCAATTTCATAATCGCATAAACTAATTATAATACTGAGTCAACTAAAAGCTGTTCTTTCTAAAATCTAAAATTTCCACATATATTTCTACTGCATAAAATACACGAATATTTTAATAGTAACAACAATTTTAAAATATTCATGAATTTTATTTTTTGAGTCTAATAATTAGGCTATTTATTACATGAAAAGCAAACGAAAGTTGTATGGTTATTATGAGATTTAAAAAACAGTATTATCAGTTGTCTACTTATAATATTTTATCAAAAGAATCTAATAATTTTAAATGCAACAATTTAGGTATGAAAAATACAGTATGACAACTATAATTTTGAGATTTACTAAAGATTAGACTTAATATTAGAAAGAAATATGATTAAATTATTACTCTTTGATCATTTAAATCTATATAAAAACTGAAAATATGGATGCACATTTAAATATCCAATATCGGCAGATAACAATATCTAATGTCGACAGATAACCGATATGGTACCAACATGTTGTGTATCCCTTAACCCTGTTGTTGCCACACTAAGCACGTTTACTTATTAGCCAATTGAAATGTCTAATCCCGGTGTGTGGCTTTGTGTTGACAGTTGGCACATCAACCATTCATAAGAGCAACAGTACCTACTTGTGTAAAAATGATTGTTGCCTTACCAGGTCGGTTCATGTCTGAACAGATGTTAGACGAATGGACGGATATAGGGTCATAAAAACTGTTCGTAACCGTCCCATCCGCCTGAATGGAGAGGTGGCAGCTCTTGAACTCTTCTCTGGAGTCAAAGCCGTGTATGGCATCACCCAGAGCGCCACTCAATTCGGGTTCAGCTCCAGTAAAGCAGCGCGGATCCGGGTCGGGCGCACTCCGATGGGTTAAGCGGTTCGAGTTTAAGGGTCCAGAGGTGGCGTAGACGTGATGTCCAGGCATGGGTGGGTTTCCAAAGGGGCCCTGAAGCTGGTCGATTAATTTCTGAGCGCTACACAGACACTCCTGTAACGTTTTGAGCTCTCTCTCCGAGACTTCGAGCCGAACCTTCAGCTTCTCGTTCTCTTGCTCTTTGGTCAACAGCTCACGCTGGGTCTCGGACAGCACTGCCACGATCTCGCCCAGAAGGGTGTCCACTGCGGCGGACAGAGTGGACCGGATGGTCGGTCCAAGGCGAGTTCTGAGTGTGGAGATGGAGAAGTTTTTGTCCCGGACCGTGTTTTGCATGCACTCATCCTTCTCCCCCTTAGGGGATGAGTTGATTATAGTTTGTTTACGGTGAGATGCGCTGGCTGATGGGCTATTTGTTGCTGTTGGTACCGACACTGGATTGATTCTGCCCGCCCCGTTTTCACCGTTGTTGCGCTTTGAGTTCATTGCGAATTATTCTGCTGTACAACCAAACGAAAAAGAAACCGATTTTATCAATTATTTAAAAATGAAACGCCCATCCTTTGGAGTCTCACTGCGACAATTATTTCTAACCACTCAGAAATGGGAAACTAAAGACGACGAGCCTGACTAGCTACTATAGCATTGCCATTAGCAAACTAGCCCACACATTCCTCTCGCAAATAGAACCTTTCACTGCCTGACCTTTGTTGAAAGCTCGATAAATAACCACACTGAAAGCTCACGACAATACTATTTTTAATCTGCATTAATGTTGTAGCTACGAGCCAGAGCCTTCATTCCACTGTACAAACGCGGAGGTCAATCCTGACTTTTGATTGGTCAAAGTTGTGGTCGCGGTATAATGACATAGTCTGGCGTAAACAAAGCGCATGAAAATGACGATTTTTTTTTCAGAGCGAGAGATTTATTACTGTTTGTTAATGTTTGCTTACCATGCTGTACACAAAACTCTTGTTTACACAAGAAACATTTGCTGATGCAAAGTAGTGTTTTTAACAGTTCAACATACGATGACGTATGAAAGGCAAGTTCGTCTAGATAAACTTTGACGTTGTCTTGATGTAAAATGTAAAACCTTTAAGTTTGACGTCTTCACATGGCCTTATGACAGAAATAAGCTAGTCAGACAGAAAAACTTATTCAAGTGGTTCTCAATCAGAGGGCCTTTTTGGGGGCCTCAGCAAACATAATACAGTAATACACAATCGTAATTAAAATACTCAAACATAAATTTCTACTTCATATACACTGACATTATATTTTTTTCAGAAGTCTTTTAAATAGAGTGTCTGGTCGCTAGTGAATGAAAAATTGTCCATTTCATGCTGTCTGGTTCACATGACAGATTCTGCAAATTATCATAATTAAGCTGTGGGAGTGTAAGCCATAACTTAAGAATAATTTATCTTTGTTTGCTGGTTTTATGGAACACCCTTGAGGTGAAAATGGGGTTGACTATAAACAAAAGGGAATTACAAGAATTAAGATCTTTTGATTCAGCTTTTGGATATTGCAGTTTATGCGTAAAATACAATCTTTCTTGTAATGTAGGCCTACACAATCATGACTGTGGAAGGAAAAAACATAACTGTGTGTGTGTGTGTGTGTGTGTGTGTGTAACATTATCCCTTCAGTTAAAAAAAAAACAAACAAACAAAAAAACTTTTGTTTGAAAAGGTAACCCGTTCATAATTAGACATGTATTCCACAAAACTGCATATTACTTACACAGAGATCAAAAATCTAATTTCTCCATAATTTTGATGTAACATTTCTCACTTCCTACAATGAAACAGTGCTACTATTACAGTGGATTTCAACCTTTTTGACTTCAATGTCCCAATTGTCCACAACAATATTCAAAGGTGATATGTTCTACCTTTTCTATTTGAATGCTTATTTTGTCTTATTTTATATAATAAGTCATCTTGAGGCCCCCCAGTGGGCCCTGCCCCCTGGTTGAGATTCACTGTGCTATAGACCTTATTCAGAGCATCACCCTGAGAGATGCATGTCTATCCCTCACAGCCTCACTTTCATTCTAAAGATGGCACTGATGTGAATAAGGTCTATTGTGAGCTGTTGTGTTCTTGGGCAGGTTGTGCTGCAGTGCCATCTGCTGGCAGATATCAGTATACAATGATTAATACGTCCCAATGATGGATTATGTGTATAAAGGGTTTTGGATATGTATTTTACTCTGTGTTGAGTATTATTTTTTGTTATGTGCTCTGTCTCTCTCAGTCTCCCTCACTGTGATTGCATTGTAGTTAATTAGCCACACCAGATGCTTGTAAAGAATGTGCTGAGAGCTAACTGGTTCACTTCTCCCTCCTCTGCACTATAGACTTGTGTTCTTTCGATTGAGTATAAAAACTGGTGTGTTTATTTTTTTGTATAGACCTTATTCAGAGCAGCGCCATGACAGGTGTGATAGTGAGGCTGTGAGGGATAGACTTACCGTGTTTCCAATGGCATCCGCTGTAAAAAGCAGAATAAAGCTCCTAGATTACTCACAATTTTCCACAACTTACATTGTCAGGAGTTTTTTGTGAAATCTGAAATTTCTTAGAAAGATATTTTTCCAGTGTTTCATGAGCAGAACAATCCGAAAACACATTAAATAACAATACAGCCCATTGAAGAGATGCAAGTCTATCCCTCACAGCCTCGCTTTCATTCTCATTAAAAATCAAAGATGGCGCTGCCGTGAATAAGGCGTATTGCAGTTAATCCGCACACCTTGTGGTTTGTGTGTGCTCTGGTTTCAATACAGAGCTGTAGCCTAGTCCTTTTGCTACCCGGTAGTGTTTTTTTTTTCTCTTTCTTTATAACATTGTTTTCGGAATTAAAAGGTAGGCTAAGGCCTTTCTATCGTATATTTACTTTTTTATGTTATAGGAAGCTGTGTCACTTTTTGTCTTTTGTAACACATTTATCCCTGTTTTTGGTTAGTCAGGCAGTGGAAGGACTTGTCCAGGACTTGTACAGGTCGTTTAGTTGTCCTTCCTAGTTAACCATTTTGCTTGTTGTTTTGGTTAGACCCTCCCCTTAAAAAATGATTGCTTCTATTTTCTTTGTTTAAATTAAAAAACAACAACAACGTAGACAGATAGACAAGTGTTTCCACAAAGTGTGTCCCTTCAGTGGAACAGACCACAGACCATTTTTCTTCCTTGACGAACTTGTTATATAAATTTGTTCAAGTAGCTTTATGCTGTCATTGCCCCAAACTCATCCATGTGAGAGTATGATGGTAAACCATGATTCATCATTCCAGAGCTGTGGCAGTGACGGAGCTTTACACCAACCTGGGCATATTTGGCATTGCCTATCTGTGGTTGCAGCACACACCCATGGAAACCCATTTTACAAAGCTCCCAATGAATACTTCTGGTTCTGGTTTGCATTTACAGTGACTGTTTTGAACTTCAGTGTTAAAAGCAGGGTCTGTGGTAATGCATATGCGTCATCCAGCGCTCTGTAATACTTTTCTTTGGGCTTACCGGAATGTGTGGCCCAACACTTTCTGACTTAGCTGTGCTTAGCTTAGAAGGAAGTATTAAAATTTGTGACTGATACTAGAGGAAAAAGACACATAAGTCACAATAAAGTAAAGTGGCAGTTTAATTTTTAGGAATTTTTAACAGTGGTTAAATCAGGCTCTGCTGTGGAACATCAGGCTTTAGTTACAGCTACAGCAGTGCTCTCAGCCTAAACACATTTTTTAAAAATTTTATTTAGTATTTTATTTATTTAGTTGGGAAAAATGTGCAGTGATCGGATAAGGATAGCTAGTTTAGCTCATGGAGGAAGGTGTGATGATGAAAAAGTAAGAAATGCAGTATATTTACATTGTATTTATAGGCCCAACTCTATCTTTTTTAAAGAAGCATCGAACAATAGTTACTCTTCATGACAATTACTTCAGCTGAATAAAATGAGCTGGTTATAATTTTAAGTGAATGGATCACAGATTGCTATGTATGTACAGTGGACTAAATAAAATAAAACATCTTAGTAGGAAACAAATCATCATCCTCTTGCTCCGTGACCCCCACTTCTTATATTTTATATAATTTTTTTATAGATTCAAGTGTTTTATATGAGTCTGTATTACCCTATTTTTATTGCGATTAAAAAAAGTGGACTTATGGAGAAAAAAAGTGTAGTACATTGTGTCAGGATTAGATTTCAAAGTATTTAACATAATGATTTTATTTTTTGCTGTCCATTTGACCATGCAGTTACAGCTTCTGTTTAAAATCAGTTACTTAAAATGAGGGGGTGGTATGGTAAGTCCAGATTCTTCACAGGGCCAAGAAAAAAGTTATAAATTCCTGGGATTTTCCACATTTTTCATTTACCGCAGAAATTATATCAAACAGCAGCACCTATCCACCAACTCAAGTATGTGTTTTTAGAGTGTAAATTTACCATCAACTCAAGAGTGGCAGAAATTTTTTTTTTTAGAAACGATAAACATTTCTCTTTAGACAAAATACTTTTCTAAAGAGTATACTTATTCATCATTCTAGAAGAATAAACAGATACAGTCAGCCCTTTTAATACTATTGCTTCTTGTTATCTGCAGTCAATGTAATCCTCTGTATTTTAGAAAGCGGGAAAATAACTATAATTTATGACAGAATTACCATACAGACATAAATAGTGTCTAGTGTGACGTATTCAGTTCTCTGCAACTGGAAAGTTCCGTTCTTGTTGTGGTGCGTGTGGTTTAAGGAAAACCACATCTCTGAATAGTTCAGCTTATTTTGCATACAAGGAAAAAAACGTGGGGGTTAAAATTACATTAGTTTTTCACAATTGCTAAGACACTAAACCCCATTCTCTGAACTAAATTCTCTAAACCAATTTGTCGAATAAATAACTCTTTCTGCAAAATCTTAAACAAGTTTAGGCAGTTAGACACTTTGCAAAATCTCATGCTCTCTTTTTGCAAAACTCTAAACACATTTTCACTCATTAATACGCATCACACTGTGATTCATTTGTGTCGCAAAACACTGAACACAACAGGCAAAAGTTCAACTTATAGTTCCTATAATTCCAAATACAAAAAATCTTTTATTATTTTGTAAGATTAAATATTTACACAGATTATTTTAGCAAAAATGTACACTTAAAAAAGTTACCTAAAATGTGCTGTTGATCTGACCCAGTCTTAAATTTAAATGAGAAATTGTAATTCTGCATCAAAAAAACAAAAACAAAAAAACATGGAGAAAGAAGAAACAAACAAACACAAGTTTAAAAATGTGTTGGTGATTTGGGAAAAGGTCTTGAAAAGGTGCCTATGATTAAAGGTAGTCACATTGTCAGACACTGACGACCAAATGAGAAGAATGTGCTGAGTCATTCGTCCACCTTCTCTGCACCCCTCTTTCATTGACTCATTAATACACTTCCTCTATACAGCATGCTCACAGTGGCTATCAGTCCACAGTCATTCATTTACTCCCATCATTCATACCAATATGAAGTGCATATTTATGGCCACACACAAACAGATACAAGCTCCTTTCTGTTACAGAACTCCCCCTGTCTCGTTTCGTGCAGTAGACTTCCGCAATGTTTTGTGTCTCCACAGCAGCAGAGCCAGAATCAGAAGAACTATGAGTCCCACCACACCTCCAATAATGCCCAGCTTCAGCGCAAGTCCAGAGTCTGAAAGTTGGGGTTCAAATGTGGCACACGATTGCCCGTTCTCTGTGCTGACGCCGGCTAGATTCACCGCTTTTACACACACGAGCGCACCAGCTGCCACATCCTGCAATACTGTTGCCCTTTTCCTCTCCTCCACCTCGATCTCCCCACCTTTATCCTTGCCTTTCACCAAGACAATGTAGTGGGTGACAATGGAGGTCGGAGCACACCAGTGCACCACGACCCCTTTGTCATCCTGTTGAGTTAGATACGAGAGGTGCGGTGGACTCGGGGGATTGTCTTTAGGGCTCAACCCTGGGCAGAGGCATGGTGTGACTGCTGCAAGCTCCTTGCAGGTTTGCTGCTGCTCCACACACAGGTCATAGTAGCATGGATGGAGTTCTGGGACTTCAGAGGTAGACAAGCTGAGAGGCTCAATGGTAGTTTCTTCGTAATCATTGTAATCGTACATTTTTTCAGAGATGTGGGAACGGGGTCGAGTGACATTCTGAGATGATGATGACAGGTCGAGAAAGTTGATGAGGAGGAGAAGGATGACAGAATGTAGACACACCAACATGATATCTGGTGGGGGGAAAAAACACGAGTTACGAATGGAACTTTAGATCAGAGTCACCTAATTTCCTTGGGTGAATGGATTATAAGTCAATTATCTTTAACTGATTTCATGAACAATTATTGACCTATAGTGTTACCTTAAGAACTACAGTTCTTGAATGTTCAGTAATATATTTTCAGATAGCATCGGAATGTAATAAAAGTGTGTTACTGAACAAAATGTAGCTCCAGATCAGTGGTCAACTCAAATGATTTATGACTCATTCCTCGGGTGAATGTTTCAAAGACCTTTAACTGATTGCATTAACCATTTTTGACTTGAGTTTAGAGTAAAATATCAAATTGTGTCAGATTTAATGTTTGAAGTTGTGTTGTTAAAAATAAAATATTACTTAATTTAAAAAAAATTAAAGATAGCAGATTAAAGATGGTTAAAGATTATAAGAAAGTCTTGTGTTGTCATTCAGTTGTATTTCAAAATGATAAGCCAATTTGCCAACCCCCCTCCCCCCATAAACATGAAGTGTAGTAAGAAAGAAGAATCACTACTAAACTGACTGAGGAATTAATATGAAGTAAACAACCAATGGCACTCGGAAAACGGTTTACATTTAGCAGAGTGAATACAAACAATCTAGCCATCCAGATTACTCTCTAGTGAAAAACAAACCAGTTAGCGCACACGTGCCTGAGTGTGTGTATTTAGTGTCATCTGCCCTTGGTTAAGATATCGATTAACATTCTTTTGCATGGGTAAACCAGACAGAGCTCATATAAAAACAACTCTGATAAGTTTTAAAGAGAAAAACACCAGACAGCCATGTGACAAAGGAATTCAGAGCTTTAGGTATTTTGATAAAAGGCTAGTAATTTGAGTAAAAGGCTTTTGTATTGAGCCTGTATGTTGATTGCTGTCTCAGTTACTTTTGTATCAAAACTGAAGTCGCAAGGTTAACGTATTGGGAAAAACAAAAGATATGAACATTACTTTCTTACCTTATTTAATAAGGGAGTCCAAAAAAAGGATTGTACTCAATCTTTAAATTTCTGCTATCCTCTTTCCCTTGCTCTTCATCGCCTTGCTACAGCAACTCTTTCTCTCTCCCCTACAATCACCTCCTTTTTCTTTCTAACCCCATCCCCCTCTCTCCCTCATCGCTCCACCTTTTCTCAGTTATTAGGCCGACTGGCACAGGGAATGTGTTTGGAATATGTGCACATAACTGATGAATCACAGCGATTACAGCTACATGTGCAGGTCAGAAACCTGACATGACACACACATGCACACACTCATTCAGATTCATGTTGAGCAACTGCTATACCTGAACTCATTGACATTCCATTAATAAAAGAGATAGTATTTCATACACAACTGTACTTCAAATTATGCTGAAACAGGTTCTTACTATCCTAGCAGCAGAAATCATGTTTTTATGGTAAACAATACTTACATTGAACACAGCTCAGTCGTGGCCTCTGGCATGCTGGTATATTGGTGAACAAGAGGCTCTTTATTTCAGAGATTTGGAGACGTGCTTCAAGCTTCAGTGGAATACTAATTTAAATGAAAATCTCAGTTTGTAATAACCAGAAATGTGGATTTGGTGTTCCACTAAAAAGATTTACTGCATCCTGGAGGCAGGTGTGTGTGTGTGTGTGTGTGTGTGTGTAGCTGCTCTAATCATAGAGAAGGAAGTCTGCTTTTTTCATACTTAATGACAGTAAGAGTCAAAGTTCATGTCATTCATAATACGCACAGTCACACACTTCCATACACCCGCCTTAGAAACACTGTCATGGCATTGTGGTCAAGGTTATTTCATCATAATATCCTTTTTGTTTTGAGTCATAAGGCCCTATCTTGCACCCGGCGCAAATGACTCTGTACACTGACGCATTTATCATTGCAACCGCGCAAAGCATTTTTTCCCCCTCCACAGACGTAGGCTACATCGGTGAACTAAGAAAATGAACTTCGGTGCAAACTTGAAGCAGCTTGAAGCAGCTCAACTAACGCGATCGTTAATTTAGGTGTTTAAACAACAGTTACAGAACACATCCACTTGAACATATTTGACAATCGGAACATCAGTGGTTGATGTTATAGCTAATATATTTGTGAATATTTTTCATAAAAAATGGAAAATGACAAAAGCAGATCACCAATCATTAAGCGCTGTGTTGTGGTTCCGTGACGCGTCACCATGGAAACATTAAAGTGACAGGTTCTAAAGCGGTCGCCTAGAAAAACTCACACTAGGGGATCAGTTAGAATATTTTAAACTTACGTGTGAAAGTCGGGTCAGTCGGGTCTATTTAAACCCATGATGTGTATCAAAGGGTTAAAAGTAGCAAATACTAAATTTCCAAGAATGTTTAATAAGACCTTCATATAACAAAAAGAACAATACTGTGAGCGAGACAAAAGCATTTCTACAACATTTACATGTACATTCGACAATTTAACAGAATATCAACAGATCATCTGCTGTCAGGATTATTTGCAATTCCTGAGGAAGTGTGTTCAGAAACACCGGATAGATGATACTGACACAGAATCCCCACTGGAGTTTTGAGGTATTAAATGTGACATATCAATTTTTTATTCTTTTAGGGAGGATTTTCCTCTTTTTCAAGGGTCAAGCAAGAGTTAGGAAACTGAGAGAGATCTTTTCTGACATGACTCTTCTGATCACAGGATACAAGCCTCTTACCAGTATGAAGTACATTTAAAAACATCTGATGGTGCAACAGTGTTTGGTTACAAGGCCTTCCTACTTACAGTACATGTGGGAATCAGGAGGGCTCAAATTTCAACCTCAGAGTGTAAAGGTGAAGCTCCCCCAGAACTGGAACATGTCCTTTTTTCTGCACTCCCTGGAAAAAAAGAAAAAAAAAAGAAAACCGAGACAGGCTCACACATGCACAACAAAACACAGCCAACCAACTACATCATATCCTTTTCTGATCTCTATAACTGGCTCATATATACCAATATAAACTACAAAATGTCATTCCATTTCTGTACATGAAAGTGCTGTGAAATGCATTCACAGACCAGTCTAAATACTTATACTACTATAAATATATGTTTTTAATAATGAGCATGTGTTTTCCAGAGAGAATCAATCATAAGGGAATATTTTTCTGTGGGAAAGCTGAACATACGGGCATCTAGGGACAAATGGAGTAAACAGAGGGAGGAAAACATGTCAAAATGCTCTAACACTTGTATTTGTTCATGCATAACTAAAGATATTATACACAAAAGTGCAAGTCTTTTTATTTTCAATATCAAGGCCTGTTTTTTTAATGGCTTAATTATTGAATGACACATGACTACATGAGTATAATAATTGTTGTTTTTTGTGTGGTCTGTTCAAGCAGGCTACATGTCGACATTATTGCGCACACGTTTTTACCTTCCCACTTCACGTCCTTCCCCTCTTTGACAATCTCCTGTCTTTATATTTCTCTCCATTTTCTCTAGATCCAATCTGTCATACAGACATGCTCCTCAACCTCTCTCTCTCTCTCTGTTTCTGTTTCTCTTCATCACATCTGGTGGTGATTAACTGGTGTGCTGAAAGCAGCTGCAGAAGGGAGCAGCTGCAAAGAAAAACAAGCACGCATGTCATGCATACATCAGACCTAGGGTGTGTTTAGTGGGAAAATGAAATAAGCATGAATGTCAGGGTGTAGCTGTTGTGTGCATATGTGCGAGTGTGTGTGTTTTATCACAGTTTGTGTATTTGAGCTTCATTGTGTCTGACTCGTCAAAATGTAACTTGGGGCAGCAGTTTCAGAATGACATGTTTAGTTTGGGTGTGTTTATTAAATGCACTGTTGTTTAACACTTTATGGTTTGTCTTGTTTGTTTTACAAAGTACATCCTGTCCCTATTACACAGCAGTTAATAGTATTAAGCTGGAACGGAGCTGTGTCATCAGGGGTCTGAAACGATTTAATTGCACATTCTACCCACTACATCCTATTACTTCAACAGATTACTTTAACTCCTGTATAAAACACAGCAGTTGTGTTACAAAAGTAAAAATCCCATTCATTTTCCTTTTAGGGCAATAATCCTTTAAAGTCTATATGCTTTTGTTGAAGCCATCAGCAATTGAAATATAGCATTATGTAGCATCATGTGCCCTCATGATCTTTAATCAAATCAACCTCTCCTTCCTCTTACAGTGACATCTCTTCTCTGATGACGTGTTTATTGGCAAGAGGGTGGGACAACCAGCCACTCACCAAACCACAACGATCCAATCAATTCCCAATGGACATTCAAGGCCCGCCCCATATTTTTTTCTTGTTCAAGAAGCTGTTTCAGTTGGATTCATGTCACAATAGTGAAGAAAAGTCTATAGCAACTTCAGTTTCAGGCGGACTTTAAAATCAGGAATCCTGGTGGAAAAACATTATCCACGATTCTGCAAAGAAATCTTCACAATTCAGAGAATATTGCATTAGTGCCTGTTCACCTTTCTAGCAGTGCTGGTTCCATACATTTTTTTTTCTATTCATTTTCCCCATAGGTTTTGTTAAAAAGTCTTTGTTGAAGCGTTATAAACCATGGACTAAGCCAATCAGCTACAAGATGAATAAAAAATTACAATCTATTATTTGTTATACAAAATGAACAGCTTTAGTGATGAAAAGAATTACAATCCCATTAATCCTTGCAAATGACAATTGAATTAAAAACAATGGTGAAATATAAAACTATCATTTAAAGTTGTTTATTATGTAAACTATCACCAAAAGAAATTGATAACTCCCACCCAATCCCATGAAACACTGCAAATGATGTAATAGTCTCCCTACACTCTCAAAATATTTAAATATTTGTATGTATACATAAGTGCATAATTTGCAATAAATGTAAAATACTATATGTGTATTTAAGGGAGGGAGGGTTGGCGCTCAGGAGGCAGATATGGGGCTGGAAAATGGGGTGGCAAGGTGGCTTAGACGTGACAAGATGCCTCCTGGGCAGCACCGGGAGATCAGGGACTCACAGGGATGGGCATCTCGGTGACGACCTCCACGGTGTGTCTGGGGTCTTGTGTCTTGAGCGGGCGTAGCAAGACAAGGAACATACATAAACTGAAGGCTTAAATACACAGGAAAACAAATGAGCTGACGAGATCCTTAACAAGACACACCAGAACAGAATACTCAAATCAATCAGAAACCATGGAAACCAACAGGCAGGGGATGGGAATGACAGAACTAATTAACAAACTAACTGCAAACAGAAATATCTCTACATCATTTTTTATTTGATAATGTAATTTGCAGTGCTTCATGAAATTGTAGTTCTTTCCACCAATAAATCTGTTAGGTACGGGTCTTAGTCTTCTAACCAAATTTTTTTTGTCCTATTTTTTATTTTTATTTTGCTCCAGATGATCAAAGTTTGTAATGTGATTCAGCTGGTTGGTTTAGAATATTGGCTTTTAACTCTTAAAGAAAGACTTAAAAAAAAAAAAAACCTATGGGGAAAATTGCACTCTTTTACACCGATCTATGGAACAATAAATTCTAATTAATCAATCGTACCATCCAGCATTATAATATTTCCTAATAGTTGGAGTCTTCCATGGCAATCCTGTATATTGGTCTACTCGTCTGTGTAACTGAACCTGAAGCAACTTTCAGGTCTCCTGGTATCCATGGACTCCTCCTCTTGTTTTAAATGCACCTGCAGTGCAAGTGCAAATGACCTCAGAAAACTTAAAGGGTTAGTTCACCCAAAAATGAAAATTATGTAATTAATGACTCTCCCTCATGTCGTCCTATGCCCGAAAGACCTCCATTTACACAATTTCACGGAACACAATTTAAGATATCTTAGATTTAGTCTGAGAGTTTTCTGTCCCTCCATTGAAAATGTATGTACGCCGGTATACTGTCCATGTCCAGAAAGCAAATAAAGACATCATCAAAGTAGTCCATGTGACATGAGTGAGTTAGCTAGAATTTTTTGAAGCATCGAAAATACATTTTGGTTCAAAAATAACAAAAACTACAACTTTATTCAGCATTGTATTGAGAATGAGGTCTTAAGGGCTTGGAATGACATGAGGTTGAGTCA